GGCTTTAAAGTCTCACCCCTCTAGAATGCTTCTAGTGTGATTCCTGGGCAAACACACTTCTATCCCCACTGAGTACCGATAAGCCCTCTTTCACGGGGTAGGGGAAGCCCTTGATGCCTTCCTATTGCTGTGGCTAACCTTCCTTGTCTCTGCCAGCTTCAAGCCTCAGCCTTGCTTCCCATTCCTGATCTTATGGGTTCACACTGGGACCCACACTCTTCCCCAAATACGTGAGTTTAGGGAAGCCATTTCTCTTTGGTGCCAAGGAAATGGGTGTGATTCCACATAGTCTCCAAATCTGCTTAGTAAGTGGACCCCAAGGAGGTGATGAGCACGGAAGAGACCCTGGACTTCTACGGGACTTCTTTTAAAAGCAAGGGGGAGGGTGAAGAGGTAGCTCTTTTAAAAGCAAGGGGGAGGGTGAAGAGGTAGCTTGGGGGTTAGGCACTTAGTGCTCTTGCAGAGGACCTGGGTTCATTTCCTGACATCCACATGTAGGTCACTTCCAGTTTCATGGATCTGATACCCTCTTCTGGCCTCTGTGGGCAGCACACACATGTGACGTGCATATGGGCATGCAAGGAAAATACACAACTTTAAAATGAGGAGAAGGGGAGGGGAGAGTGAGGGAAAGGAAGTTGCTGTTTTTGCTTGATTCTAGCCCCTGAGAACCACCAGCTTGTACCATCTCTGGAAATTGGAGAGTGAAACTGTCCTTATGCCCAAGGCTGGGCAAGACTGCCAAAGAATAGTTGGAGGACCACAGGAGGGCATAGGAACTAACGTCCAATTCACAACTCGTTGAGAAGTTCTGCAAGCAGGGAGCAGAAGAGAACACATCTAAAAGTCCCCAGTGTCTTTTATAGGCAAGGCATCCCATTTGCATGTAAACTGCCCCTACAGGCTCATGTGTTTGAACACTGGTCCCTAGCTAGAAACATTGTTCTGCAAGGCCGTGAAGCCTTTGAGATATGAGACCTAGCTGGCAGACACAGACCACCTGGGAGTGCACAGAGCTTTAGGGTTGCCAGCTAGCTGCATTTCTAGCTCACTACCCCTGCTTCCAGCTACAGATGTGAGGAATCCCTATGGCTCTCTCAACCATGAGATCCACCATGATAACCTGTCACAAGAGACCACACCTTCTGAAATGGTGAGCCAAAGCCAGCCCTTCTTAGCCACATTGTTTCTGTTAGGTCTTGTGCTTCAGTGGCAAGAAAAGTAGTGATGTGCAGCCCAGAACCCCAAAGTTTTAGAGTTTTTAAGATGATGTTATGAGTGGAAAATTCTAAGCCATGAAACAAGGCTTAAAATATTGTGTAAAATTACCTATGTGTTTTCTGTTTATACTTGGATTTAAACATAAGGAGACTTATGTATTCCCATATAGGAATTTTTTCTGGTCTCAAAGCATCTTAGCTAAGGGACACCATGTCTGGAATGGAATGGCTAGGGCTGAAGCAAACCATGGCATTGAGTTGGCAAAGACAATTCTAGGTAGAACCTTTTCATGGTAGGGGATGTAGCCCATCTTCTATTGCTTGCAGCAAACAATGCAGAGCCATTTGCAAGCCGAGGAATGCTCAACAGCCCCTGGACAGTTGGGTTTCTCCCTGATTTGTAAGGTCAGATCTAGACTCCTAAAGAAGTCTGGGCAGACATGCACGCACGCACGCACGCATGCATGTGCGCGCGCACACACACACACACACACACACACACACACACACACACACACACACACAAAGTTAAGAGAAATTGGTCTATGGCAGGGCCTCATTCAGTGTGTGGAGAAGAAAGTACAATAATTTTGCCTGACCAGCTCCATAGCTATGGTCCTCCCTCAACTCTCAGATGGTTGGCCAAATGTTAATCACATGAGAAAGGCAGTCAAAGAAGAGATTCTGGAACTCTAAAAGCATCAGAGACCAAAGGAACCAGCTCAGATGTGCAAGAGGCTTTGTCAGGAAAGCCATTATATAAGCCATAGTACATCCATTGCCAAAGTGGGACACTGAAAAAGTTTGCTTATCAAAAAGGACAGTGTTGAAATGGATACAATACAGATGCCGGAACTGGACATGTGGTCCACATCTGCAATCCCAGCACGTGTGTGTGTGTGTGTGTGTGTGTGTGTGTGTGTGTGTGTTGGGGGGAGTTTTAAGCAGGATGACTGCAAGGTGAATAACCTGCAGAGGGAACACCATGCCTCCAAAAGAAATGCCTGAAAGTGTAAGATGGAGGTGGAAACCTCAGCACACACTTGGGCTCTGGGGCTGATTAATAGACAAGCATAAAGACGAATGAGATCAGAGTAATTTGATTTAGAGGACTGAGTAGGGGACATGTATAAAACATCCTACCCCATAAACAAAGAGTACAGCATTTGCCAAGAAGCCATGGGACATTTGAAAAGTTAACCATGCTTAAGCCACAAATAAACTGCCAGCACATGGCAGAAGGCATAAATAATTCAGCCCACATTCTTTGACCAGGACACAATAAAAGTAGATATTAATAATGAAAAATAAACATACAGGGCTTCCAACCACTGAACTTCCAAATAGTTGGAAACCTAAAAGAGAACTTAAGAACATAATTAAACATTATTTAGAAAAGAGTGAGGGGGAATAGGTTAAAATGAATGGATAAAGCCTGCATTATGGTTTCAGGAGAATTCATAGCCTTAATTATTCTATTACTGAGCCCAAAGCAACAAAATTAAGTGGACTAAGGATCCGAAGGGGAAAAAAAAAACTGACCTCCAAAACAAACCAAGGAAAACAGGAGGCAGGCCCAGTGTGGGAAATTAAATGTTAAGAGATGGGAATGACATTGGCAACACAGAGCTGGCACTGTCTCTCTTCCTCCCCTCCTCCCATGTGTGTGTCATTGCGTGTATAGGCATGTGGATGTGTGTGTTTAGGGTGGGGTAGGAATCATAACAGTAAGAAAAGGAGATGAAGTAGTTTAATTTGAGGATAACCACAAATTCTTAGAACTGGGAGTTAGAATACTTAAGCACAAAAAATACAGGCAAGAGGTTTTTTTTTAATTTTTTAATGCAAAAGCACATGATTTCTAATCATACACTAATAAAATCCAAACCTTCCATAAGATTCAAATTATCAAAATGACTTCAAGAACACTTGA